TTACTGTCTCTTAATCTGGGGTAGTGGCATCTCTTTACTGGGGCTATTTTCCCTACTATTAAGTGGTTTAAGTTTGGAGGGGGTGGGGGATTGTCGAGAAACTGGGACTCGTCTGTAGCGACCGTTCTTATCTTTCACGGCTATAAATTCCATGCCGCTATTCGTTTCTTCTAAAAAGTCATCTATGATAGAGTATTCGTCTTTATTAATGTTAAATGATGGGGGGTTAATTTCGGGGGGATTAGTATCGGGGGCATCATGGCGTGTAGACTCTGCGGATGGCAAAACTTCGTTATGGCTCGGTTGTTCTAGATTAATGTTCCCTTCGTCGTCATTGTCCTTCTTTTGTTTTTTCCCCTCTTGATTGTTCTCACTCTTATCAGTGCTTAGGTCTCGTTTATTATTATTCACTATTTCTTCGTCATGTTCCCCTTCGTTAGTGTCAAAAAACTGTTCACATTTACACAAATTTTCTGCCTTTTCACATTTTTCACAAGTAGGGGTGGGGCATTTGAAGGCCATATGTCCGAAAAGTCTGCACTTTGCACATTTGATCTGGGGGCATTCCTTCTTCTCGTGGTCCGGGCTTAAACATTTGTAACAAACTTTAGTCTGGTTGTTATGTAGGATTTTAAAGGATTGTGGCCCCTCTAGAGTCTCAAAGTTCATTGCCCACGGAAGGGATCTCAATGTGGGTGGAAATTTACATTTCACGTGCCGAGTGCCGTCAGCTACATTGGGAAACTTCTTATGAAAGTGTCTTACTACTGGGCCTACAATTTCCACTCCGAATCTTTCCAATTTCCTTACAATAATATCATCTTCAAGGTAGGGGGGTAAATTAAAAAAGGAGACTACTATATAAGGTGAAAAACAAAGTTCGGGTTCATATCCTAAATCGTTCACAGTGAGTCCTTCGCACAACAGATTTGCATTTTCCACACTATCGACCGTTATTTCTATAGTCGAGGGGTACCTGGGTACACACGCAAAACATGACCCCTCCCCGAGTTTCCCTTCTACTGCTTCAATAAATTCATCCAACGTAATAAGTTTCAAATCAGTTACCTTTACTCTCACCGTACTCTCTTTCTTATATCGTCTGTTCTCCATCGTATCCAAAAATCACACCTCCGCTAATCCTATGCGGGGTGGCGAATATTGCACAAAATAGGGGCAAAAGCCCCTAAATACACGATATATACAGTCAACAAATAACAATAACAAAGTCAATATTTACAAAAACAAGTAAAATCCAATAGTACAGTGAACAAGGTTCGATACGCTTGGGTAATTCTCGGAGCACACTAATTAACGTGTTTACACTACGAGATACTAACCAACCTTTTTGAGTCCAGAGTGCTGACCATTACACCATAGAACCGTCAATTCTGACGATAAATGTTGATCCTTTGCCGAATATATCGACCAAGTATGGCTTTCAGGTTTTCTTTAGACTATTTATAACTCTGAAAAGATTTCATCGACCATCGGCAATGGCCCCTTAGCTCAGTCGGTTAGAGCGCCGTGCTAATAACGCGGATGTCATGGGTTCGAGCCCCATAGGAGCCAGAGATCTGTTTTGTTTTACCTACGAAGAAAACATTGGGGTATCTAAGTAGTTATGTGCACAGCAGTTTTAGATGAAATTATACTAAAAATATTACAGAGATATTCTCTGAATTTCATCTCCGGCGGGATTCGAACCCGCGACCTCTGGATTAGAAGTCCAGCGCGCTATCCGCTGCGCTACGGAGACAGCCAAGAGACACTGGAGCTGGGAAAATTCCACCCCAAGTAGACGAAATGCTGCTGAATTAATGAACCTGTAGGCAAGAAACACGACGAATCAGACTGTCCAAACCTTTAAAAATAAAAACAGTAAGGTTCTACCGAGACTCGAACTCGGATCGCTGGATTCAAAGTCCAGAGTGCTAACCATTACACCATAGAACCGTTGTGGCCTGACTACCGTATAGGCCGCATCTTGCAAATCTGGGGGTTTGGGTTAGGGTTAGGGCTCAGCTGTGGGCAGGTAACAAATCTACCAGCCTGGCCATCATATTCCT